TCTCTCATTCTCAATCTCTAATTTTTTCTATATATATATATATATATATATATATGAGAGTATAGAATGACTCATTATTAAATGAACAATTCATTTAACTTTTAGTGAACTACTTATAAAATAACAATTGAACATGACTGAATAAAAACGAATGATATTGTGTTTAAATTTGTTTATTTACATGATAATCTTTCTAAATCTTTTTTCATAAACTAACTATTCGTTATCTCGAAGATAAAGACGTGAAGGGGTTAGTTTTACATGCATACAAATCAATCCTTGTCTATTTACATTTCCAACACGAAACATCAAATTTTACATATAGGTAACATTATATATGCATGAAGAGAAGGCTCCCTCCTTTTAAAACATTAGAGTGATACAAATGTAAGAAAAATATTAGCTAGGTGTGTAAATAAATAAGAACTGGGTGGCATGCATGTAAATGCCCCAAACAAATTTGATATTTGGCAAATCATTCCACGTTGTGTGTTCTTTCGAAGACGACGAAAGACAGAAGACCGAAGGTGTCTTGATTCATCAATAAATGCTGTCGTAAGCATTAATTTTGATTTGTTTCGGTGGCATTTTAAGTGTGGCGTATATCGTCAAATCAACCGAGCTGTTTAATTGTAGAAAATTGCTTTGGACTTTGGCTGATCGGGCTCCGACAGTAACTGCGGGCAATGTTTCGTAATAAGTACTCGTGCTGAATGGTTTGATGGGGAAAGCGAAGAAATGGGTGGTGGAAGAAGGCTGACGAGGTTTGAGTGCGTGATGGTGAGGCCGGTGGCGACATGCTGGCATGATTGCCTGGACCAATAGCCTTTTGTTTCATTGTAGTGTAATGTTGTTTGTTTTATTGTGAAATTATTTCATGACATTAGTTATATTGTAATTTTATATTTATGTCTTGATGGATTTTTATTTGTGGTGAATCACATTTGAGGAGTATAACATAAGATGGGAGAGAGAGATAGAGACATGCCCGATGGTTTACACGGTAATGAATAGTAATTAGTTTTTTTGAATACTAGTCTTTTTCTTATAACATTATCACGTTTTTATAGAGGGGGAGGTATAATATGTGAATTTTCATATTTGTCATTGTTTTAATTGGGTTGTTACATAATATTTTTGGTATTTTACAAGTAGGGCCTAAGATTTGGCTATTCTTTGACTCGATCGGCTGAACTTGATGGGTCTTAGTTCAACAATGCAAGCTTGCTCTAGCATGTTGAATTGAGGTTGTCAGTCGGCTTTTGATAGCCTTCGGGTCGGCAGGGCTGGCTCTATCGACTTGGCTTTGTCGATTGGTTATTTTAGTATGACTGTCAACTGTTGATCATTAGATAAAGAACTATTTTCAGCGGATTGAGACTAGGATATTAAAAGGGTAAATCACGCTAGTCTGATAGATAATTCAGTCATTTACAAAGTGGTGTCCTTCAAGATGTTTGCGGGTATTGCCGATTCTTGGCCCCTGATGAGAAACCTCAAGGGCTTCTATGAAATTGTTGGTGATACAAAACTCTTTCCTTGAATTGGGTTCTTACGATTGGCATGTCAATGTCTTTGCCTTGTTCGATTAGCAATCACGATGCACATATTTTAGAATAACTTATTTAAATGTTTGAGGAATTTACGTATATACCACATAATTCTTATATATTTACATCTAATAACTAAATTTTATGTTTTCTATTAATATCACCGAAATATTTCATATCACATAAAAAATAACACCATATTAAACTTAAGAAAGTGAAACCTTTTCTTTTTCATGTATAGACACGATGACACCTACGTAAAAATAGAAGTTTAGGTTATAGATATGTAAATACATTTGACTGAAGTGGTATGATTGTAAAACTTTGTAGATGTTTGAGAAGCATAATAATTGAAATTGACACTATTTCTAAAGTAAATTTGTAGTCAAAGAAATTTTCATTGAAGCAACAAATTTAATGATGTGTATGATGCATGACATCAAATTTGAGTGACGATTACTCATACACGCAGAAGCATGATTAGGACTTCTTAATATACTTGAGCATTCAGAAGGCCTGTGAATTTTTGTATGCTAATAATTTGAAGTAGTGCACAATGAAATCAATCTAATAGAATAAAGTTGCATAATTTTGATGAGTTTCTTAAGATATTGACCATCTCTAGTAGTTTGTCTATTTGAATTTCTCCCATGCCTACTATGCTTCTCTATCCCTAACTTTGAAAAAAAAGATTGTGAATGTTGCTTTATGATAATTAGTGTAATATTTCACGAACACCCATCAACCCACAACAATAGATGACCAATTACCACTTTTACTTGGTGTATAGAACCAACCAATGTATTATTCCTATAATTCCTTTTTTTTTATAACACGTATTAAACCATGCACAACATCAAAGATAAGCTGACATACAAAACTCAATGTACGCATTTGTCTGTTTTTTCTTATGCCCAACTTTTGATACCACAAATGTTCAACTCTTTGTCTGTTTTTTCTTATGCCCAACTTTTGATACCAAAAATTATTCAACTCCTATGTCCACTAATATCCAACATAAAAAGTCAATCAAACAACAACATCAAAGGCAATTCAACCAACATCGCCTAATGTCTACAATTGATTGTTATCTGTATATATCTAGCCCATAATATCTTTTTACTTATATTTCACAATGCTTGTTGATCTTTGACTCATTGTGTTCTCTAGTAACAAATCCCAACATGGACTAACTGGGAGTTATGAAAGACTTTCATTGTTTTTTTGTGGATGTCCACCTGCATACAACATCAATTTCCACTAACCAACATTTTCTAAATTGAATTTTGATGTCCATAAGCACATAACTTTTAACACCCATTATAACTCTTCATTGGTCCTCGTCCACCCATAATTTTGAAGGTTTGCCAACTAATGTTACCCAATGTATATAGTTGATGAATGTATAGCGACATATAACTCAAGACATTCATTGATGTTCAAGTATGGATATAATCGAGCTAAGCCAAGTTAATTATGTTATAGATTGTATTTGGCTTAATAATATTTTACGATCTTCACTTTCAGCTTAAGCTAAAGCTAAGTTTTCATATATATGTTTACACTTGTCCTATTTAAATATTTTTGATAATTATATGTGACTTGAACTTCACTTTTTATATTAATTAAACGAGTAATTAAATGAGAATAAACAAAATAAGAATTCGAAGGAGTGTTTGACTTTTCTTATAATATTATTATCAAACGATTTAACAAAACTAAAAAATAAAGAAAAAATAATTGTAGTATCCAACTAAATTCATGCAATCAAATAATATAAATAAGCACTACAAATATGTTTCATTAAAATAAAAAAAATATTGAATTAATATGGAAATTGATATTAAATTATATTACTATTGATTTAACATATAATTAAGTAAGTTTAAATTAATCATGTTTATTGGAGTAATACGTAAAATATAATCCGAGCTATCATCGAGCTAATAATAGGGTATTTAACAAGTTGGTTATTAAACAATAAATGATTTTATAAATGAGTTTGTTAATGTACATGAATAAACGATTTGAATTATGTTTGTGTTTCATTCATCTAGCCATAGAGTATTTAAAAAATGTTCAAATTTATTTAGTTACAAACCTAAAAAAATTTAATCGAGTATTAATCGAGACAAGTTCAAGTTGTTCATCAAGTACGTCAGTTCATTTACTACCCGACTCTTAAAAATTGCCATCCATTCTCAACGTTTATTAACTCATAACAGCAACATGAACTGATTATTGTAATTACTTGATTTGGACCAACATTAAACTC